TTTTTTTTTTTACAATTTTTGACTGGTATTTGACCGGTCAATTGAATGAACTTTATTTAACTGGTCAAATACCCAACACTTGCAATTTTGTTAAAACATACAAGCTGTCTGATAAAATAATTACACTGAGTAAAGGCATATTTATATAAGCAAAAGTATACTTTTTAAATAGGGGTTCTCTGAGAAAAAACTGTTAATGAAAAAAAATCTTCAATATCTTTTATAAGAATAATGAAAGGAAATGGTATCAAATAAAATATATTTACCTTTCCTTTAGTGCAGGATCTAGTTGGTCTTGTACAAGAGATTTTGGTGCCAGTTGCTATTACTAAAATACAAAGATAATAGTCTTGATTAAGCTACAGATTTACATTTTTAGGGAACAGGTGGATTATCCATCAATTCTGTCTATACACTGCATACCCTATAAATGATTTGCACAGTCTTTCATTTTTCTTTGTTTTGTATATATAGTGTGCTGCCCTTAAAAAAAATTAGTTAACTACTTATGGTGGTGCTTAAATGAAATATAAAAATAGGAGATATTTTAAGAGAAAAAACTAAAAGCTTTGGAAGGTAAAAAATGACAGCAGGAAGACATTTATCATTTTGATAAAAGTTATTTTGAAAGGTATATTTTTACTGTTTAATTTTGTTTTTTAAGTAAGCAGTGTAAAAACCCCATTGAAAGGACTGCAGAATTAGTAGAAGTTCAGATGCAACACAAAACTCAGTCTGCATCTGATCTCAGTGCAGCTGGGATGAAATTGATGATATAACAAAATTCCACCAGTTTGATGTGATCTCTTATGCTCATCTCTAAACCTTGTGGGATTGATCCTACACCCTTTCAAATCCATGTCAGAGCTTTCACTGATTCAGGAGAGTTAGTAAGTTAGCACTGTGACCAATGTACTTTCAGTAACAGAGGCAACACACCTTTTAGGCAGAAAGTAGAACCAAAAGCTACTCCATCACATCATGGCTTATCTTTCATGCACTGAGTTCAAATTAACATCTTAAGCTCAGCACTCAGTTGTTAACAGTACATATAAATACAAAAAAAAAGTAAGCTGAAGTTCAACTTAGTACACATTCATGAATAAATCCTGAGATTTCATCTGTGATGCTGAGTTGACCTAAAAGCTAGTGAAAAATAATAAAATGTAACTGGAAAATCATTTTATGAGGACATAAGGACTTTTTTTCCCTAAAAAGCCACAC